TTGGGGGAAAGTATTTTTTAAAAAACCTCCTTAAAAGAAGTAATCTGGCAGTCACCTACTGGCCATTTTGCAGTCCCAGTATTGTTCCTGTACAGAGAATATCGGGAGCTCAGGATCCCCATGGATCCATGAACTCCATCATTAATCTCATGGTAGTACGCTCAACAGCAGGTTAAAGTGATGAGTAGAGATGTGATTTTGCCATTATCAAACAAGCATTTATCTAGTGGAGGTACAGTTTTAATTTATTAGCAGTTTATTCAATCCAAGTTAACCACTTCAAAGAGGCCTATAAAACTAACCAAGCAAATTGGTGGCTTATTGGATAGCTAAAGGTCTTAGGCAAACAATTTATATAACACACACCAATGAAGACAGTCTTTCACTTTTGGTTGTAATATGCCATCATTCCATAATAAAAGCAATGCTTTCTCCGCAAGCAGGAAGTTGAGCACTATAGACAAGTCTCCTCAATGCTACACAAAGGAAATTCAAAGGAAATGCATGAAAACAATGTCCTCTTGGTCTAGCAATTACAGAGTTCCAAATTCTACCCTTTATACATATGTTAGGTGTATCTAGGCTGTCCTAATTCAGAAATACAAAATCTCATTTCTATACACTGGGCAAATGAAAGAGTTTTAGTTACTCCTGAGTAGGTCTCAAGAGGAGACAAAATTTATCCTTTTGAATTTCAAACTTTTTTCTAATGTTAACCCACCAACTACTTTATGTTGACTTTTTTTGTTAGAAGAGGCCACACATACACACACACACACACACACACACACACACACACAGACACACACACACACACACACACACACACATCTTAAGGGAATTTCTGGCACTATGTTTTACCAAAAGGGAATGCAAAAGTTTTGGAGTCACCCAAATCTGATCAACTTTTCACCCTGGGTTCTGTTTACAGATTCCTCAGCTCACGTTGTTGGAATGAGACAAATATAGCCAGTTTTTCTTTGATCTGTGGTCAGTTTAGCTTTTCAAATCTGGCACAATGGTGACATTTAAGAGGCAAGGGGATAAAATTATTTTCATTCCAGCCTTCTAACAGGATAAAGACTTATAAAACAACTCCAGCCAAACATGAATTTGGACCTAAACTGGAGATTTCTTTTTATAAAAAGTCCTTCTTACACCACTGGGCATTTACAGAAGTATAACTAGTTAAGCAGTTAAACACATCCATTCTGATTTATCAGGCCTTATCTTCTTAAGCAAAATTATTGGGGAAATGGGGGAAGAAGAATTGGAACAAAGGAGAACTCAAAAACTCAAATCAAGGTGAAACTGGTTGTGTAAACATGTTTGCCAAGTCCCGGAATATATCATAATAACTTTGAAAATAATGAGGCTTACAGAAAACAAAACAAACGCTTGTTTGTCTATTTACTCATCACTCAACAGTAAGTTGTCCCAATCACTCAAATTCTTGCTGCCTCACCTGCAAGCCCAGCCTTCTAATTTGACAGCTGAGACCAGTTATAAGAGATATGGGAATTGAGGGCAAGCCTGTTAATTAATCATTGAGGAACCTCATTCATTTCAGGGCAAAAGATCTCTTTCCTCCACATCAGCCCCCTTTTCCATTTTTATCAGTAAGGAAACTAAGGGGAAGAGTGGGAGAATGAAATAACTTGAAGGGATATTGACTGGCATATAGGCATAGCCCGAGGTCTGTGAGATTGCCTAACAGACACATACCTATAGACACAAGCTTGTGCACATTAACACCACAAGTTCGGATCTACGGGTTTGTGGCAACAGGCCTCAGTATCTTCTCTCGTTTGGGGGTGTGACATGTCTGAAAATGAAAGGTTAAAACCATTAATCCAACAAAAGAGTCTACCATTCCATTGTTTTATGCCAGAAATAGAAAGGACTTGATCTTGCTCTCACAAAAGCAAAAGTTAGGCAACATCTTCTATGTTCTCCCCAACATGCCTCCCTTGTTTTCCACTTTTTCCAGAGATCCAATGGACTTTAGTTAAACCTTCTCATTTTACTGTTTACATATGAAAGTCTCATTTATTCACCACTGAACACACAACCTGGGCAAAGTTATATCAACATGGCAAACCAGCAGAATAAAGAAAATTCTTTAAGTTGTAGGCAGAGAGAAAGAACACATGAGAACCCATGTTCAAATCAAGGTGTTCATTCCTTTAAATACCTGTCATTACATTTAAAATGATGGTGAAACTTTCATTTTCTCATTTGCATTCTGGAAAACAACTGGAATAAACTTAGCAAGTACTACCAACAGATTTGTAGGCATACTTTTTTGAAAACCACTCTAGAGGAGATTTTCAGCTATATTAAGATCCATCTTCAGGAAAAGTTTGCATTTGTGTTCCCACCCCGACACTTACTATTGACTCAAACACCAACAATGAGCAAATTTGGGTATACTTTACAAAATTTGAGCCATGAAAGAAATGACAACATTGTTCTCCCCACAAAACTGTTTGAGTGTACAGGGATGAATCTGCTTCAGAGATCTTCTTCTAAAATGATTTCATTTGTCAACATAACATTTTTTTTTTTTTGCAAAGCCAATGTTCTACATATAAGAAGGAAAGATCCAAGACAATACATTTTTATTAATGGGGGCTTTGTGAATTGTATTAAAGACAGTCGTCGTAATCATAAACACTTCAGGGACACACGATAGAAAGTGAAATAATTCCATGTCCTAGAAGTTTGGTAACACATATGACTCCATTCCTTTACATGACTTAAAAAGAGACTTTTTAACTTTTGTTAGCTATAATTATAGATCCTGGCTCTCAAAATAATTATCTCATTTGCCCCAACAAATGGACATTCACTCACTCCTTTCTCAAGAACCAGGGGCCAGGCACCAGTGGCTCATGATTGTAATCCCAGCACTTTGGGAGGCCGAGGTGGGCAGATTACTTGAGGTCAGGAGTTCGAGACCAGCCTTACCAACAGGGTGAAACCCTGTCTCTACTAAAAATACAAAAAAATTAGCTGGGCATGGTGGTGTGTGCCTGTAATCCCAGCTACTCTGGAAGGCTGAGGCACAAGAGTTGCTTGAGCCTGGAGGCAGGGTTGCAATGAGCCAAGATTGTGCCACTGCACTCCAGCCCAAACAGAGCGAGACTTTGTCTCAAAAAAAAAAAAAAGAAGAATCTGGGAGATGAAATGAGGCCCTACTAATAACAAAAAAAGGCAGAGATGAATTGATAAATTATTCAGAGAAAAGAGAAGGCCCTCATGTATGCAACCTAAAACATGAAATCAAGAGAACAGGAAACCAACAGTGCGATGAACAGAAACTGAGACAACCATTCATAGATACTTTGTTGTCTCCCTGACTCATCACAAGTGAGCTGTGGTACAATTGCTCAGAGCCTGCTGGTGCTGCGAAGGTTGGCAAAACAGAATTTAGTTGTAGCTCTCTGGCTTAATTTTCAGATCTGAAGAAACAACAATAGCAAGTGGAAGTAAGTAGTATCCAAATCAGTCACCCCCAGATGGTCTTTACTTAATTTATTTTATTTTAAAATGTACATTTCCTTTCTAAAATAAAAGATTTTTAAATAAGCCCTGAGCTGCTTCTTTTCCTTCCGTCTCTCTAACAAAGGCATGGGGCTAGAGGTATTTGAGGATGGGCACTTTGAAGGCTGTTAAATATTGCTGGAATGTAGGGGGTGTAGGAGCTCCTATTATAATGGAACAGAATAAGCCCAAGGTCTCAGAGAAATGAGAACGAACTGTTACCATCACGCTTATTAAAACGATACAATATTTGTTAGCAATAGACTAAGATCTATCAAAGTGGTACACTGAGACACTCAAATAGCACCACTTTCATAAATTTGCATGGCACTCTAGATCTCCATAGAAAGGAGCTCAATGCTGCTTTTCAGTTGGGGGCAGCTCTCCCTTTCCTTGGCAAATATAGAACAGAGAGAAGTGTTTCATTTCAAATGGTTTATAGTGTTAACCTGCAAACAATCCCAAGTTTCAATTTTAGAAAATAAAAGAGCCACCAGAAGATACCTAGGCTGCAGAAAAAAAAAGAGAGAGAGAGAGAGAGAGAAGAAAATCAAATACTGACCTATTAAAGGGACGGTTTGCTTGGGAGTAGATATTCTTCCTAAAGTATTAATTGAATACAACCCTTAAGAACCTTCTTTGTGTTCAGGAGGAAAATAGGTATTTTTCCAGAAGAAATTTTGGCTTGCTTCATTAAGCAAGATTCTTGGGGCTCTCTTAGTAATATTAACAAGTTGGAAAAGAGGGGTTAATGCTGATAAACAATGACAAAAGCAGAGTAATGTAACTTATAAAGCAAATATATAATTTATGTTATTAAACATTTTTAGGTGGTAAAAAGCCCTTCAATGACACTAAAAGGAAACTGCCTGTATCGTGAAAGCTAAGATCAAATCCTACTCCCTAAATATGCATGGGAATAGTTTCATAAAGTGCCATACAGTACTACCACTCTAGGACTAAAATTTAAAAATCAATATTGTTATTATGCAGTTTATATAAGCTCTATCTTCCAGGAATTCAGAACACATGGTAGGCTTTTTAGAGCCAATCCTGTAATACTTACATTTTTAAAATCAAATGCCCAAGATAGCAACAGAGTTAAGGGGCAGTGCCTGCTAGTTTCAAATGCATGTTATGATTGCTCAGAGCCTGCTGGTGGGTGCTGTGAAGTTTGGCAAAACTGAGAATTAGTTGTAGCTCTATGGCTTAATTTTCAGATCCAAAAAACCAAGTGCTGTTCAGTAATAAATTTAAAAATTTTTTCCAAACTCAATACAGTTGAATGCCATGGCTGTTTTACTCACTGGCTATGAAAATTATAAAACTGGGTAAAAAATTAAGTTTAAAATGTGGTTATTCTTCATTTAATTAAATCATTCAAGCATGCCGTAAAAATTTGCAATTCTTGAGGAAATGAAAGGTTTGGGAAAATTACAGAAAAACATCATTACCTGAAAAAGGTCACTTCTTATGTAAAATTTTAAACCTGTTTCCATCTTGCTAGGCTATTATCTTCACAGCATCCACCTGCGTCTGGAAAATAAGACATTTAAAATATTTTAAAATGGTTTAAGAATTTTTACTTGTTTTTCAGTTGGTTTCTTTTGCCACCCAATTCTCTTGTAAAGTTGAAAGTAACACTAGAACAAGAGTATAAGAAAAACAAAAACTGAAATAAAAGTATTTCTAGAGAAACGTCACGGACCGTTATGTTTACTTATTTCCAGAACTACACATAATAAATACGTTCTACAAATAAGTAACTTCACATTTTTCCTGGAATTCCCCTGGCTCCCGTGGACCTCGAGAACAATTTTACCAGAATAACGATCAAATAGGAATGTGGAGTCTTGGAATACGCCCAAATTTTTGTACAAATGTTTTATACCAAACCACTCACTGGCTAAACATGATTAAGAGATAGGCTATCTATAGTTAAGAATACTTTAAGGTGTAATCAAGGAATTGGGCAGTGAGTAGCTGGTGTAATGCAGCGCCACTAAGGCATCATTTAAAATTTTTTACTGTGAAACGATTCGGGAGTCATTTCTTTCTGCTGATAGGGCTGTTAAAAAGAAGCAAATACCTGACTGTGGTGGACTCATGAGTCTACACCGCACCACAGCAGGATACCTGGCTTCCGTTCCAGTGTCTTTTCATTGGCCATGTTTTTGGACGCAGAGTTTGCCTTTCCTTCATTGTTCCTTCACTAATGGAAGGCAAACTCACAGTGCAGCTGCTTGTAAAGAGGAAAATTTATTTGAGTTTTGCCTGGCTGTGGATTGAACACTGAATCCATGGTGATGTCAGCAGAATGACACCAACAGAAAGATTTCCTGCCCTCTATCCCCCTTCCTTCTTAAAGATGTAGATCCTATAAAAAATCTCAGTGGATCTCCTTTGTCCCAAAGAGATGGGACAATTTGACCAGACAATTTTTTATATGAGAAGGATAGGAGGAAGAAGGAAGGAAGGAGAGAAGAAGAAAGAAAGAAAGAAAGAAAGAAAGAAAGAAAGAAAGAAAGAAAGAAAGAAAGAAAGAGAGAGAGAGAGAGGGAGAGAGAAAGAGAAGGGGGGAGAGAGAGAAAAGAGAGGCAGAGTGAGAGAAAAGAAAAAGAGCCAGAGACAGAGAAAGAAAAGAAAGAGCAAGATAATGAAGAAAAATAAAGAAAAGGAAAGAAAGAAAAAGAGAAGGAAGGAAGAGAAAAAAACAATAGAAAGAATAAGACAGAAACAAGGAAGGAAGACAAAGAAAGGAAAGAAGCTAGAACGAAAGAAAGAGAAAGAAAGAAAGAGAGGAAGAAAGAAGGAAGGAAGGAAGGAAAGAAGGAAGGAAGGAGGATCTCAGTGGATCGGACGAACGATAGAAAGAAGAAACAAAGACAGCAAGAAAGAAAGAAAGCAAGACAGAAAGAAAGACAGAAAGAAAGAAAGAAAGAAAGAAAAAGGGAAAGCAAGCAAGCTTGCTCAAATCTAACCTTTGGCGTTCACTCTGACATGGGTGTCCCCTGAAGCAGGGGAGACACTACTGTTTGGTCTCCTATAGCTTTTCAGCTTTTCTGATCTTTTCTCTCGTCCTTTGCAGTCATTAGCTTTTGCCAAAAGATTCAATCACCTCAACAAAAGAGGCACATCCAGCAATTGCTACTACTCCAAGAGTAATTCATTGGTGCCAATCGTCATGCCACGTTTTATCCACCTGTGACATTGCCATGAGGATATCAGACCACAGAATGGGAGCAGCTCTCAAGGATATGACGCAGAGGCTTTTGGCACCAAAGCCAGCTAGCTTAGGTAGAACTCATTTTTTTTTTTTTCACCAGGAAAAATTGACCAGAAGGGCGTAGGGAGAGAGGAGACCAGCAAAGTAATGTCATTCTTTTCATGTTTCTTTCACGCAAAGGGAACACTGAAGACTGACTTAGATTTATAATCTTCCCCCCACCACACCCTTCCCACATTAAAAAATATTTTATGTAAATGATAAATGCAAGTGTGTACAGGTCAACTAAAGAGAAAAGACATGGAAAATGGTATAATAGAAGATACATTGGATGAAAACAAAAGACACTCTCAGATTACTTGAAGAGTGAGCTTATTTTTCTGCAATTAACAAAATGTTAAACCCACTTAATGTTCACTTAAAACAGACATATAACAGAAATCAACTATTTGAGAGTGAGAAATTGAAGGCAAATTCACTTTTGAAAACTAGATGAAACAAAAGAGAGACTTTGCCAATAAGAAGTTTTTCCGTGTGCGCTGGCTAAGGGATACTACTTTCACTTTTGAAAGGAGTAAGTTTGCTCAGGATGACAATTTTTCTTCATTTTTTAAAACGCAAACAATGATGCCAGCCTACAACTTCCTTTCTAGCTATTTTGCTAATAAAGCAGGGAAGGGGAATTGAAATATGAAAAAATAATAAGACCTTGATTCTGACATACAAACATCAGACATGTATTTTTAAAAATCAGATGACTGTCATCTCTTAAACAGAAGTTAACTGTATGCTACATAAATGCTTCCTAGATGCCAGCCAACTTTAATATTTTCTATTCAAAGCTATGTTTTGCTCTTGAGAAAGTATATCACAATTAGATGAGAAAGTGCATGGATAGAATGGCTTGGGAAGACTTGAAGATTGAATCCCGCAAGAAAAAAGACACATGATATGTAAACACTGAATATTCTTTAGGGTTTTGACTGCATGACAATAGAGTCTTGTTCTGGAAAAGTTATAGAGGAGTCTGGAATGTCCACAATGATACTTATAAAAAGAAGCAACCTTCAAACCCAAGAAATGATGTACAGCTGAAGCAGAAAGACCTTTGCCTCACTCTGAGTGCAGGTCCACTCAGAAGAAAAGCCACACACCCCTCTCTCTCTGCATTTCACCCTAGCAGGTTGGTGTTTCTCCACCTAGGACTCTCCATGTCTATTGATTTCCACATTTCTCTCTTTGTTTGGAAGATGAGAAGACTAGAAGATGATTTTATATAGTCTTCACTAAATGGAAGTTGGGAAAGAAAAAAAAGCATTCGACTATTTTACTTACTTCTCACTCTCAACTTTTCCCAAAAATTGATCTGGTTATTTTACTGTCCAGCCCTCCATCAACCTTCTAATACTTTTTCACACACACACACACACACACACACACACACACACACTTGCTTGGTCCAATCTGGTGCCTGCTTAACAACAACAGAATGACAAGCAACATCTGTTGGTAAAAAAGCCAAAGTCACACCTTAACATTTTTTTGGCTAGGTTTCTTTTTTCTCTTTTTCCCCTGATTCTAAAATGGGAGGGGACAGAAAGAGAAATATGAAGATTTATATTCAGTATCGGCTCCAGTGAGGCAGCATCTATACTCCTCTAGAGCTATTTCAAGGTAAAAACAATTTTAGGTAAAACCACTGCAGAATATATGGTTGTCTCCCCTGCAGCAAGCCCAGCCACATAAAATCTAACATATCAAATCCCTAAAAATCAGGGCTTTTTCCTAATAGCTTTATATTCATCTTCTAACTAGAATTACAGGATCTTTTGTGTTAGGGAAGGAGTGATGAGAGATAGAAAAAGAGAAGAGTAAGACAGAAAAAGAAAAATAGCAGAGAGGAAAGGAGCGCCATCGTTCTTCCCAGATTTTATAACCCAGGCATATAACAGGCACATTTACACTTGTGCCACACACAGGAGCACGCACTGGAAGCAGCAAGGCTACAGCAGAAATCTGCACAGCTGTAGCCATCAGAAACGGGCTCTCTCATTCCCCCACAGAGAGGTGGATTTCTGGAAAGCTACCAACAGACCACAAGGTCACAATGCAAAGGATCAGAGCTCCCTCAATAGGAGGGGGATGGGGGGTGGAAGAGAGGAGAAGGAGCTGGTAAAAAAGAGAAAGCCTCACTCGCCAAATGAAACAATTTTGCCCCCAAGAAGGGAAATAGGGGACTGTCAGAAACTCAACTCCTATTTCACTCAGGGTTTGGAAGAAACCCACACACATTAAGGGAAAAATAAATGCAGACAAGTTGCTAAGGAGACTTGTGTAAACTCCAAGCGCAGACATATTTCTTGGCCTTTCCCCCTACGCTCCATCTTGTATTCTGATCACGCTGCTCTGCAGCAATGTTGCACCAACCTTCTGCATTAATCTTGGCCTTAACCGTGCATTCTGGCAAAGCACACTGGTTGCAGATATCATCATCTTTCAAACTTAACAAGTTAAAAGAGAGAGAGAGAGAGAGAGAGAGAGAGAGAGAGAGAGAGAGAGAGAGTGTGTGTGTGTGTGTGTGTGTGTGAGAGAGAGAGATTAGTTGGGGGGAAAGTAGGGAAATTTTAATTTGGAATTTTTAAAACATAGGTGTCGAACAAAGAACATATACAGTGCATATTTTGGGAGCAATGGGGAAAGGGATAGGCAAAACATCTAACACTGGACATTTCCCTTAGCCCGTAGATTCCTTCATTTCTCTGTACCCCTAGACTTTTTCCCCCTCCCACATCTTCGGTTAAAATCCTGTGGCCCTGGCAGATGCAAGCAGGACCTGCATCACTACAGATAACAGCGTAGGGTCCTGGGCTTCTGCAGAAAACAGTGCATTCCACAAAGTCGAACCCTGCTCCCCTACTCAGTGTATCCCAGAGAGATCAGCTTTTTGAAAACAAACTGGGTCAATTTATAAAACATCTAAACCAAACCTGTGTCGGTTACCAGCTAGCATTTTGGAGGAGGGATTTCAGCCTGATGTCCACCCTCTGGAGCTGAGAGCTTGTCCCACAGTGACACATCTTCAGTTGCAGCTGATATGTGTCAACATTTGATTTAGAAGAAAATTAACATTTTCTTTCAGGACAGAGATGTTTGTACTGTAGAAGCCAATGTTTTCCTTTCTCAGCCTCCTGTATTAGAATTTCTAAAACCTTCCCCAGGACAGAGAGAGGATAGACAACGAATGTCCTAAATAATTGCGTAGAGCACTGTAGCAAACTATATGCCCCAAAATCTAATCTGTGTGTAGGTT